AATATCGATTGCAAAACAGGTGCAGAAAACACGTGCCTTCATTATGTGTTTGTCACTGCCACAGGATGGTGACGGGTAACAAGTTTATAATGAACAGCGGCGTCAAATGTGACTGCAGTTTTGCGCTTCAAATGAGAACAAAGTAGACAACTATAAAATAAAAGAATTTGAATGTTTTCTACATTTTTTTGAATAAACATGTGAGAGGGTATAGCTCGCATTGCCGATAGATATATATCCTTAGCAAACGTCAGAAAAAATATGAACAGATTTCAATGGATGACAATTGGGAAAAGATTTAGTTTATAATTAATAACTCAAAAAAAAAAAAAAAAAAATAACTATGTTTAAAGTTTGAATACATTTATATAGAATCGAATTATACACTTTTTAATAATCAGCCTAAAAAATATCTATCTATCTATCTAGTGTCTCCTGATTGCTGGTATTTTTCCATATTCAATGAAATCAAGTGCCATTTAAAATTTCGAACTTTCACAAAAAAAATGTAAGTCCACTTTTTGGGATAGCATCTATAACAACAAATTTAGTTTTTCGAATTTTTGAGACTCTCGCCCGCAAATTTCTAAGCAAATAAGCTGTAGTTCGATATATCTGGTTCTCAGCAGATAATTCAGCATCTCAGAAAATATTCAATACAGGTTCAGTTCTCATTTTCTAACCAAATCATCTGCAATTTAAAATGTCGTGTCCTCTATGATTTGCAGTCCAATTTTTTGGCATAGCTCATATAACTTTAACCCAAATCTATTTCTATTTTTTTCTGTTTTAAAGCTTTCGGCCCCAGAGCAGCAGTAATTTAATATTTCGGGTCGTTTATGGGTAGATTAACTCCTCCCAACAAAATGTATTTTTTATATCCTTACCCACATGGCTTGATACGGCCAAATCCGTTTCAGGACATTTGGAGTCGATCTAGTAATGATTGCCCGTCCGTCCGTCTGTCTGACTGGTGCGCACGATAACTCTCGTAGAGAGTATTCGATTTGGTCCAAACTTGGTACATCGTAATATAATTATCAAACTTAGATCGAGTTCAGAGATGAGCAATATCGGTCCACTACTTCTGACACCTCCCCCACAAAAGGTAGGCATATTCAAAAGAATATATTTTTACTGCACAGAAAGAGAGAGGATAATCCTATTTTGTTTCAACTTTGCAAATCCTAATATTTGCATCATCAGTCAATGATGTAAGTGTCCGATAATCAAATTACACACAACGCAATATTTTTATAAAGCCAAATACTGGTGTGATGATGGAATATATCCGTCCACTCCTTCTGCAATCTCCTCCACAAAGGTTCAAATTTTTAAATATTCATGAAGCTTACAAAATGCGAAATTAATATTCGATTCCATCCAGACAAGATTTGTTATAAAGATTATGAAGATCTGACCATTTACTCTGGTACCACCCCTACAAAGGGTAAAATTTTTGAATAGCCTAACGATTATAAAATCCGAAATAAGCAGTTGGTTCTCGTCATATTTCACATATCCCATTATTTCTGTTAACACAAGATCTGCTGAGAAGATGCTTCTGGTACTCCTTCTTGTACCTTCCATACAAAGGATCAAAATGTTGAATATCCATGAAGCTCATAAAACGCGAGATAAACTTCCGATACCATTCAGACTTGGTACATCTCAATTTTTCCATCAACACAAGATTACTTATGAAGATGATGGAGATCGGACCATTCCTTCTGGTACCTCCCCACAGAGGGTCAATGTTTTGAAAAACAAAAACGATCATAAAATCCGAAATAAGCGTCCGGTTCTTTTCATATTTCACACATCCTCTTACTTCTTCTAACACAAGATGTGCTGTGAAGATTGAAAAAAATCGGTTCACTCTGCCACCAAGGCTCAAAAGTCTGAATATCCATGAAGCTCAAAAAATTCTAAATTAATACCCGAATTCGTTTAGACTTGGTACATCTCAATATTTCCAACAAAACAAGATTTGTTATAAAGATTATGGAGATCGGACCATTTCTTCCATTTGACCCCACAAAGGGTCAAAGTTTTGAATAAGAAAAACGATCGTAAAATCCGAAATAAACATCCAACTCTCTTCAAATTTCACACATGCAAACAATTTTTGCTAGCACAAGATCTGTTGTGAAGATGATGTATATCTACGAACCGCTTCTGGTACCTCACCCAAAAAGGGTAACAATTTTCAATTATTTTATCTGTCATAACTGAGAAACACGTCAGCGATTCTTTGCAACTTGCCACATTTAAATATTTCTTTAAAGCAGAAACCTGAGATCAATATGGAATTTATCGGAATTTATGATTTTGCAAAAAATTGGATATAAATGAAGTATGACAAGTAAAAAAGCTGTAAGTTCAGCCGGGCCGAACTTTGAATACCCTCCACCATTTAGTACAAATTTAACAATTTTCAAAAAAAAAAAATCAAATAAAATCCGTTAAAAATTCTGATAAAATCTTAAAAATACCGAATATAGCCATTTATTAGGGTCTATACGACGACGTGGACCTGCATAGTCAACTTTTGTCATAAGCTATTACAATATTCAAATGCGAAGCTTGAAAAAAAATATAATGTAGCTAAATCATCAAAATACCGAATATTGGGAGGTACCATGGTGGTTATAAAACGTGGACCTGCAAAGACAATTTTCTCTCATAGGCTGTAGTATCCATTACGAACCTCAAATATAAAATTTAAAAAAATTCAAAATACCGAATATCGGGAGGTATCGTTATATGAGGGCTATACGAAGACGTGGACCTGCACATACAATTTACTGTCATAGGCTGTAGTATTCATTACGAACTTGAAATACTAAATTTGAAATATTTTCGGTAAATAATATTTCTAAAATCATCAAAATACAGAATATCGGGGAATATATGGGGGCTATACGAAGACATGGACCTACATGGCTCATTTTCTGTTTTAGGATGTAGTATCCATTATGAACTTCAAATACGAAAATTGAAAAAATTCCGGTAAATAATGTCGCAAAAATCATCAAAATACCGAATATTGGGAGGTATCGTTATATGGGGGCTATACGAAGACGTGGAACTACATGGCCCATTTTCTGTTTTAAGCCGTTGTATCTATTACGAACTTTAAATATTAATTTTGAAACAATTCCGGTAAATAATGTCGCTAAAATCATCAAAATACAGAATATCAGGGAGTACCGTTATACGGGGGCTATACGAAGACGTGGACCTACATGGCTCATTTTCAATACCAAAAGTCCTGCAGACATAATACATATTTGAGTAAAATTTTATCAACCTACTTCATTTCGTTCGGATGCTAGATTGATTTCCACAGACGGATAGACGGACATTGATAAATCGACGTAGAATTTCATGCTGATCAAGAATATATATACTTTGTGGGGTGTTACAAACGGAATGACAAACTTAATATACCCTCCTCGACTATATCTCTACCTCACGTACATTCTAACATTTTCTCAAAAATTTTCACATATCTCATAAAAAATGAATGAAGCAATTAATATAGTCCAATTCTGACACGTCGCAATATTTATATCATATTTATTTACGTCCTACACGAAATGGACAATATTGGCTCACTCTTTCGGATCCTACTACATAGAGGGTCAAAAATTTGAATAATCATTATGAAAGTCAAAATATATTTAAATAATCGAACCTTGGCTGTGAATATCCATCTGGCGGCAAAACCGACTAATACTTTTTAACTTTTTCCCATTTTTATACCCTACACCACAAGGTGGTCAGGGTATTATGTCTTTGTACATTTGTTCGTAACAGACAAAAGGAAACGAGATAGACCCATAGTTCCTTTTGATGATCTGCATAGAATCACATTCTGAGTCGATTTAAGCAAGTCAGTCCGTCCGTCTGTCTGTCCATGTAACTTTGTAAACAAAGTACAGTTCGCATTTATTGCCCTATCTAGATTAAATTTTGCACAAATCATTTGTTTGGCCCAAGGACGAACCCTTTTGAAATTGGAGATAATCGGTAAAAACTTAGATATAGCTCCCTTATACATCTTCGTAAGATTTGCCTTTTATTGTGCACCAAACGTGTAATATCAGCCCGAATAGTATGGAATTTTGTACATACAACCAAATTAGCCCTGAAAATAAGTATGCCAAATTTAATCGAAATCGGTTCAGATATAGCTATAGCTGTCAGTCGTAATATGCACTCTGTAACAACAATATTTGCGGAAATATATAAAATACAGCTCAGAAATACATTTGCTTAATGTTATCGAGATCGGTTCAGATTTGGATATAGCTTCCATATATAACTTCGTCCGATTTACTTTATTGTGCACCAAACGTCTAATGGGATGGAATTTGGCACTTACGACCGAATTGAGTCTAGAAGCTAGTATGTCAAGTTTGGTGAAGATCGGTTCAGAGATAGCTATAGCTCCCGTATATACTGTTCATCCGATTTGTTATATTTGTTACCCACAGCCGTAATATGCACTCCGTAGCAATGATATTCAGGGAAATATATCAAATACAGCTCAGAAATATCTTTGCCAAATTTTATCGACATCGGTTCAGATTTGGATATAGCTCCCGTATATATCTTTATCTGATTTCAAATTAATTTTGCACCAAATGGGCAATACAAGTCCAAATTTTTAAGATACAAATTTTCGGCATATTTAGTCTTTCAAACTTTAAATTATGATTATTATCATAGCGTGTATGGTCGAATTCTCCCATAAAAACTTTTAATTGTTATGAGGAGCTTGCCCCGCCCGACTTTAAGTCTTTCTTTACTGTTTTTTTTTTTTTTTTTGCATAACTTAAAGGCGTCTGACATAGTTGTGGTATGTCGAAATACTCATTGACCACAAACTGTTTTTCCACTTGTTTCCTTGTTAATTCAATAATGGATTTTAAAACTAATAACAATTATTTTATATTATATTATCCTGCTTTTTTTTTCTTTTGCAGGCAAATTAAATGGAAACTATGATCAGCGTAAAATACTTTAAATAAAAATGTAGTCAAGTGAAATAACTTTTAATTATTATTGGCAATAACTGCTGAAAAATTGGATATTCATTAATTGCTGCTCGACAAAATTCGACAAACATTGTGATGACGAAAATGAAAAAAACGTTTAGTTTTAATTAATTCTACGAATAAATACTCGAAAGCCCGGTAAAGCCTTTAAAAATGTCAAAGCAAACTTGAAACGAAAAAAAAAATACTAAAAACGCACGGTAAGCCATGAAGTGTAATAAAAAATGAAAATGCCATTTCAAATTAGTTTTGTGTTCGAGTCAAAAAACAAATATTCGACATTAAATTTTCCGCAACAAAAAACCGAAAAAAACAAATTCTGCATTTAAAAGTGTAAACAAAATATAAAATGTCCTAATAACCGAGCATACCCAGGGGATATTCATAATTGATTTGCAAACAAGTGAGAGAGGGAGAGAGAGAGGAGAAAAAAAAAAACGTAACATAACAAGAACCTTAGCCAGAGAGCATAAAACCTGATTAAATTGCAAATACCTGAAAATGCTCAAATGACAAGTTGGGAGTTTGTTTTTTTTTTCGTGAGACCATTATAGAGGAGCTGGGTTGTCATTGTTTATTTAACAACAACAACAAAAACTGAAACCAGAAAAAAAGCCAACAAACTATAACTAAAACTAACTGCTACAGCCATAACGAGCACTGCCAGTAAATTGTTGAAAACGTGTGAGCCACATTATCTGCAGCTAAAAAAATAACTACCACCAGCAGAAGAACAGCAGCAGCAGCAACAACAACACAAACAAGAACAACGACGACGTCTACAATAATAATATCAACATTTAAGTGGTGGCTTTTTGCAGCCTTACAGCCACCCATTAAATCCACAACTAGTCCACTAACATTGCCATCAACGTCATCATATACCAGCATCAGCATCATCATCGCCATACCCAGCCTCCAGCAATAGCATAGAGTGTAAATACACACACGCGAACACACTCGTTCACTCTCACACACACACACCCATACACCCTGACACACCAACAACGGGAACTGGAACTGGAACTGCAACAAAATGCCTTTTGGATTACATTTTTGCACCGTGCTATGGATTATATTCTCCAATTCATGGCTGCCACTGCTGCCAACAACAACAACAATAACGTTAACGACAACAACAACCACCGCCACTGCCAGTTTTCATCTATTCCAGCGTTCACTAATGGGAGCAGCAGCCCAGCCATCATCATTAACCGAGAAAATTCCATTAGGTAAGTGAATACATCTTAAAGCTTTTGTGATGGGGTAGAGGGTAGAGAGGGGTGGAGGGGGGATTGGGTCTTGCTGCACTTAAATTCTATAGCCAGAGTAATAGTATTTTATTTTTAACGCGATACCACTTTTGGTGTAATGTCGACCGACAATATGTTGAAGAAAGGCAAACACACAGCACTACTGTGCATTGGAATGGAAGGGAGGAAGAAGTGGAATTGGTCGACCAGGCAAATCCCTATACCAAGGTATCGATGCAAATATTTAGTGGATTATTATAAAAAGTAATTGATATCAAACAAAACGTGGTTGTTTATGACCTTGGAACGAATCAGATTCTGATTTCAAATTTTTCTGGCCAAACCACCCTTTAATACCCTCTGCTATAAAATAAAGGGTATATTAAATTTGTCATTCCCTAAAGTGAATTTTTATATTCAGGATCAACACAAAATTCTATATGTCGATTTATCTATGTCCGTCTGTCGATATATCTGTCTGTCCGTCTCTTCAAATCTCGTTATACTCACCCCATTACAGATGAGACTTTGACATTATGTATAGGCAGAATATTTGGTGTTGAAAATGAAATATTTCGGTCCACGTTTAGGTATAGCCTCCCTATGCAACGGTACCTCCTTATCAGCAGTAATTGGACTATTCCACTTTCTTTATGACTTTTTCTGAGAGTAGTTTCACTCCTTGCTAAATTTTTGGATAAATTATTTTATTAAGCTCCGTTGGCGATTATTTAGAAAATTTTACCACGGATATCCCCCTGGGTCCTGAGATGATGATGATGGTGATATTATTATGTCTTGTTAAAGTCGGTAAGTCGGTAAAGCCCCTTAAAGATCTGTAAGTGCCTTGTATATTTCCAGTATTTGTATGACCAGCCAATATCAATATCCGCTAAGCGAACCAAAGTTTTCTGAATACGATACTGTTTTTAAGTACACGGATTTTGGGGCTTAAGATTTCATTCTCGTGATATGTTTAAAAATAACGCGATCTAACGTTTTTGAATAAAATTTACACTTTCACCTTTGGGCAGATTCCAAAACCAATTACGCGATCCTCCTCCTTTTTAAAAGTAATTTTTTATTGGCGGTCGAATATTTTTTTTTTTTTTTTTTTCAAAATCGTGGGTAGCTTCGACATTGTGGCAAGACTTGATAACATAACGAGCGATGGCCCATTAAAAAAAAAAAAAATAAAAAAATAAAAAAAAAAATACCTTTGGCCCAAAATAAGTGGCTCGTTTTGGGTGCTCCGCCTTTTCAATTTATGCCTGCAGGTTTTCTAGACCCCATAACAGGTTTACATACCCATCAAAGACAAAATGAGCTTCATCTGAAAATATTTATTAGCAACAAGTAAAAAAGGAGTAAAATCAACCGAACCGAACTTCGAATACCCTTCACCATTTTGAACGAATTTGGAATTTTTCAAAAAAAATAAAATCTAACATGTAAAAAAGCAGTTAGTTAGGCCGGGCCGAACTTTGAATGCCCTCCGCAATTTGGAAAAAAATTGGAAATTTTGAAAAAAAATAAAATCCGTTAAAAATTCTTCTAAAATTTTAAAAATACCTAAAATAACTGTTATCTCTATACGAAGATGTGGACCTTCATAGGCTACTTTTGTTATAAGCCATTACAATATTCAAATACGAAACTTGAAAAAAAGAATCACAGGCTGTAGTAAATGTTAGAAACTTAAAATATGAAATTAAAACAAAATACCGAATATAGGAAGGTACTGATATATGGGGCATATACGAAGACCTGGACCTGCAAAGACAATTTTCTGCCTTAGTATTCATTACGAACCTAAATACCAAATTTGAAACAATTCCGTTGAATAAATTTGCTAAAATCTTCAAAACACCGAATATCGGGGGTTCTGTTATATGGGTGCTATACGAATACGTGGACCCGCACAGACAATTTTCTGTCATATGCTGCAGTATCCATTACGAACTTCAAATACGAAATTTCAAACAAATTCTGTGAATATTGTACCTAAAATCGTCAAAATACCGAATATAGGAAGGTACTGATATATGGGGCATATACGAAGATCTGGACCTGTAAAGACAATTTTTTGTCTTAGGCTGTAGCATCCATTACGAGCTTCAAATACTAAATTTGAAACTTTTCCGGTGAATAATGTCACTTAAATCACCAAAATATTGAATATCGGGAGGTACAGTTAAATGGAGCTATACCAAAACGTGGACCTACATCCCTATTTTCAATACAAAAAGTCCTGCAGACAAACATACATTTGAGCAAAATTTTATCAATCTACTTCAATTTGTTCGGACGGACATCGCTAAATCGACATAGAATTTTATGCTTATCAAAAATATATATACTTTGTGGGGTCTAAAATGTGTATTTCGAGGTGTTACAGACGGAATGACAAACTTAATATACCCTCCATACTATGGTGGAGGGAATAAAAAATATTCAATGAAGCTTCACCTTTTCAAATTGGCCCTATAATACGGCACTTCAAGATTTTCGTTATTTCAATAAGTTTTGGTTCCAATTTTCATATAAATCAGCTGCAAATAGACTTATTGCATTATCAGCGGGTAGCTCTTGGAAAAGAATTAGCAACATTTTTGGAATATGCTCCTTATTTTGGCTACTCCAGATATCGGGATATTGGTCGGAATTTCCAACCACATGACTATAGCCTTGACAGCCCTTTTTAAAAATTCACGTTTATAACCCCAATAGTTATTTAGAAAATATTATTAAAATTCCACTACTAAAACATTGGCAATATTTGGAAAATATAAAAAAAAATCAGCATTATAGATTTGAAAATCCTTCAAGTAACAACCTTAAAAAAATCAGCATTTTTTGCCCGAATGGCTCTAAAAAATGTTAGAAAAAATATAAACTGTTAGCCCTGATAGGCCTAAAACTCTTATTATTTAAAAGTCAGAAGATATTGAATACATATTCTATTTTTTCAAACTTAGCTACATCGGTAGTGAGGAGGAGTTTGAGGCGCCCGGGCCTCCTTCGAAATGGTAAATTCTTAGATTTTTTAGAACATTAAACATGGAAATTCTATTTTTGTCGGTTGGGCTACTCTCCCATAAATGGAAAGACATTTCTACGAGGGTTCCTTCAAACACCATCTTTTGAAATCCTTGTTCGTTGGCATAAACGTCTTTAACGAAATATTTTTTTTTTTAATTATTAATTTTTAAAAATGCACGAGTGTAGCCTTGATGGACCTTAAAATATAAAGTTTATGAATCCACGACTATGGCCATGAGGTTACTTCAAAATTTCTTTAAAAAATTTGTTTGAAAGTTCACTTTTTTGGCCGCAGAAGTCCTTGAAAAAATATTCATTATAAATCAAAGTCTGTTGCTCTGATGGCTCTTGAAAAAATATTCTTTAAAAATGTAAAACGTATAGTCCTTGAAAAATTATTCTTAGAAAATCATCATTTGAGGTCACGGGGTTCCTTGAAAAATCATTCTTTGAAAATGTATATATTAGGCTTAAATTGTCCCTAAAAATATATTCCTCAAATAATTTAAGTTTTTTTGTTTTTGTCATGAAGGTCCGTAATAAAACACATTTTAAATATTCACGTTTTTGTTGAAAAATATTTTTTTGTTAAATTCTCGTTTGTAGGTGATGCAAAGACCAATCACCATCGATTGATGGTGATTGGTCTTTGCAAAATTCTTCTTGCCATGGGAGTCCTTGAAAAAAAAAAATTCATTAAAAAGGGGTTTTTAAAAATATTCTTTAAATATCCGCATTGTAGCTTTAACTGCTCTTGAATAAATATTTTATAAAAATCCTTAAAAAATATATTTTATAAATGCACACCAAAATTAGGTATCATGTACCCCACATTATGCAGTAGGGTATTGAAATCTCACCAGCATTGCTTTGCTTGTTATCCTTTACCTTACGGCTGTTTGAACAACAGCATCAGGGTAACCGTAAAATAATGCACAAAAAAAAGAAACAACATAAATAACTCCTTTTCTAAATTCTCAAATAAATGTGTGGCCTGGCATGACCAGCATATCCCCAAAAGAGATCACACATGCTCACCATGTGCATGTAGCTCCATGTATGTTTGAGTATTTTGGTATTTCAAAATGTGTTTTGTGCCATTTCCAGTTAAAAATGTTCTATATACATATGAAATTTTATATAGAACACACATAGGTGCTTGCATACATTCATGCTTTCATACAAATACACAGTAGTAGAACTCATCGAAATACACTTGAAAATGTTCGAGTGTGTGAACAACGTGCATTTATAACTGTTTAAATATTTCACTTCCGCAGGGCTGTTTTGTTTCATATTTTCTTGTAGCTTTTTTTTTTGTGTTCAGCAATCCAACGTGAACATGCTTGCCACAAATGCGGCAACCTCTCAAAAATTGGTTTAATGTTGTTTGTATGATTGTTAACTGCAGCAAAATTGTGCTGATGCAGCGGTCTTGGTTAAAAATCACGTGATTGTGTTACCAAGAAAATAAATAGTTTAAAAAATCTAAATCTAAAATGAAAAGGGGAATTTGGTTTTATTGCATATGGTATTTGCGATTTTTTTATAATCTTAAAATTTTAAGCAGAAATAATAAAAGCTACTATTTTTTTTAACGGATTTTATAAAAGTTTCTAACGATCAGTGTTTTAAAAAATCGATTTTGTGCAGATCATCGATTTTTTAACAAAATATTTTCCTTGAAATGTGTCCATAGGATTTAATACACCCTCCAGAATATTTTTGCGATAATATTCGGCACTTATCCTTATGTCACGGTCGATTAATACGAGCTGAGAGCAGTCACCGACTCTTATGGCTGTCCACACCATCACCATGGGCGGCGCTTGAGTTCTGGTGGCCAATCGAAGGTGCACATTTTCAGCTGACCTCTTTCGCAAGTAAAAACGATTATTTTGTTTGCTTACAAACTGTTGGACAACGAATGTTTTCTC